ATTTTTGAACTCACACACTTTAACCCTACTCTCCACTCATCATTACTGACGTGACGCCGGAGGAATCACTGAATCCCAACCTGGTCCTCTCATGTCTATTTTAGTGCAGGAATGGATTCTCTCCTCCAAGAATCGACTGTCCAAAGAAGATCAAGACCCTAATACACTAAGAACATCCACAATTCAATCCCTTATTGAAACTAGTACAAACAAGAAAGATTGAATATTGTGTGGTTTGTATCAAATATTGAATAATTTAAAAGTATAGGAGACCTTTATTATTTAGCAAAAAAAAGGATGGCTATGCCATCTTTATATGAAAAAAAAAATTACTGTACAGCTAAAAATATAGTGAATTAATAAATGATCGGCCCAAATCCACGAGGGTCTAGCGAGTTATGAAATTTGTCATAAAGCTAAATAGAACTCAGATGACTCCTAAAACATACATGAAATTAATTTCCGAAAACCCGAAGTCGTGCGTTGGTGCCCAGGCATGGAGATTGATCCATAAATTGAAGATAGGGGAAACTTCCCGTTAAACTAAAAGAAAAAAATCAATCAGACAAAAATCAAACTAAATCAGCTAATATCACCCCAAATCCCCTTCAATTTTAAATACAATTCCAACATCAATTCCCTCCAAAAAAACCAATAAACAACAAATCACACCACCTCGTTCACCAAAATTCAACAAAATCCAGCACTAAAACTCAAAACTAGACAGCCCCTGGCAACCAGTCCCCCTCAAACAACCACCACCTCTCCCACAACCTCACCCCATCCCTGCCGGACCTGCTCCGGCCGCCTTCAACCCCTTCATCGACACCGCCCTTGCTAAACAAATTCCAACACCGCCAACATCCCCGCCGCAGCATTCCTCCCCCGCCGCACATCGCCGTAAACTCCCGCCCACCAAACGAACCTCGTAAGTCCCTCTACATGCTTCACCCGCATTCTTTTCGCGGAATATGCGCTCCTGCTCCAATAATGGTTCGTCGAGAAACTCGTCTGGTTCGGAAAAGTGGGAACAGGCTGACGTACCCCGGAGGTACATCATGTCGATGAGGAACTCTTCCATACCTGCCAGCCGTTGTTCGGGACCTCGGACCTGACAGGTGAGTGTTGGGGGGGTTTATGTATTCGCGCGTTTCAGTACGCTAAACTTCGCGCCAGGTTGGGAAGAACAGGCGCCCCACGCACGGCACATGGTAGTATGGCGGTTGGGTATCGCCTCGAAGAACTGCGTGGGCGTTCACTTACGTCTTGCGACTTCGATGTAGGCGAGGAGGTAAAGAGATCGAGAACTCGGATGAGACGGTCGCAGCGACGCGAGGGGGGGCGATTGATCCAGAGGTAGTAAAGGGAGAACCTTCGATGCGCCCCTCAAGGAGAGCCGAAGCGTCTCAGATTGACGGTAGCCAGCTCTCGCCACCGCGCCGTATCAGTGCGCCCCCGGACTTCCCGACGATGGGGTGGTGGCAATGGCGGCCAAGTGAACTAGTCGATGTTTCCAGGCACCACGTCGACTCGCGCCATTGTGATAACGTCAAAAAGACTCGGTCCCGAGATAGTACGGCGTTCTGCAGATTTCAGGAGTCTCGGCAGCGATGTTGCGCGATTCCTTGGCGGATGAGTTACAATATCTTCATCTTGTCCAGTCCGGTATTGAAGATGATATGTGGCATAATTAGGGCCAACATGTAGGATGATAAAGTAGAGTTTAATATGTCGACTTACTTGGTAACCCGATGGTTCTGAAACGGCCCATGCCCCAGAGAACTTGCCAAATGAAGTCCGGCAACCGAACAAGCACAGAGCGTTCATAGCGCTCTCCAGTAGCCATAGTATGCGCGCCTGACATGTTTGATCATATCGGCGACTGTGACACTAGACGCGGGTTGTAAAATCCTGACGAGGCCTTCAGCCGAAATACACGCGTGTAGACAAACTCAGACCTTACGCTCCAGATATCCCCTTCCAATCCCCCAAAATCAGAAAATCTTGAACATCTCCTTTACAAACCGATAGGCCAATTGAGAACAAACTGCAGGGCATACTTCCACAGCACAAAAATACAACCATGTTAACAACGAAGAGCCTTTCGATAGCAAATTGAGCGAAATTCTCATAAGAAGTGGGAGCAGAGCTCGAACCCTGAAGAGAGTGTGAGCCCAATATAAGAAAGCGTCAATCCTGAGGACATTTGGCCCATTGAGTGACGAACCTGATGAAAACGCTTCAACACATTGCTCCATCGCGAACTGAACGAATATCTTTGAAGATAACCGTGTTTCAGATACAAAAGCTAACTAATGCTCGCGTCGCCCCACAGTCCTTAATCGTTCGTATTGACAGGCAAAACGAAGAGCCGCAATTTCGATATGTTGTAACGAATAACGGGGGGGGGGGGTGTGTGGGCCATTTAGTGAGAGCAAAACGTACCGTGTCAGGCTCGCGCATCATCCTTTTTAGGATTCGGGGATGGAAATTCCCCATGCGTGCTAAGCGCATGGATTCTGCGGTTATTAATAACAACCTGTCACAATGTTGAATATGTTGGGACGGGTGTTCTTTTTTAACGCGTTAAGAACTAACGGCTCAGCGCGTGTTAGGCGCAGACTTATCCTCTTAGCGTTTCAGGATAAATAACCCCAGAATCAGCCACTCTGCGTGTCTTTCTTTGTACGTAAAAAAGACTAAAACCGGCATGCGCGTGTTAGGCGCAGACTTTTATCCCTGCTCTAGGTATTCGGGATAAAACTTCGATAGCGATGAATCTTAGATTGATAAATTCAAGAAAAGATCCGATGCGGGAACGGCAGAATTTTCATATTCTATTTCCCGCCGTCTTCTTTAGCGTGAAGGCGAAACCCGAAAACAAAGCGAAGGAGAATTTTATATTCTATTCCGCTGCATCCTGGAAAGAAGAATTTTATATTCTATTTCCAGCGAGAAAGAAACTAAGAAGTGGGGTGCTCCACTCCGAGATCTGGAAGATCTAGATAAACTTACCTTTTATAGCGATTGGTTATCTGATCTAAAAAAGAGCTTACTTCGTTATCGAAGTGAAATACAACTTTTGATTATAACTATAAAAAAGTTTAAACCAAAAGCAGAAAGGAGGGAAGTTCTTTCGTTTATCGAAAGCGGCCGACCTCCCGAACTGAAAAAATGACTTCTTGTTCATGGACGGAATCAAGCAGGACCGGATAACATTTTGTGCGATTCACCGCCAGTGCTGACTTGATCAGTGAAAGCATTTTCGGGGGTAAAGATGTTTTTGGCGTTATCCTCTAGAATATTGAGCTGTAATATCTCGAGCGAACTTCCCAGTTAAATGGCGTTATCCTGAATGTACTAGGGATAATACTTGTTCAAGCAACTTCCCATTCATGGCCATTAATTGCTGGGCGCCTCTATTCTTTTTTTTGGGAAATCAGACGGTAAGCCCGCCCGTTTGAATTAGACTGTGTCTATTAACAAACGCTCCTTCCCACTTGGCGTTCGAATTTTGACCTTTCTTCTTGGAGCGTGAGAAGTTATCGGTCGCGAGCCAGCGAGGACCAAGATCTAAACTTCCCTTGCAAGCTTCTTCGGCCGGACTTCTTTTGTCAAAGCCCTGGACATCCTAGCTTGGTAGGAACTCGATGTGTTGATTGAGCTTCCCATAAGCGCTTTTCATCCAGCTCTCGAGTTCTTCGCAGACGCTTTCATGCTTGTTGCTCTATCGGTCGTATCTCCGTTGCGAGAGCGATCCTAAGGCGAGGCGAATTTGAATTTCCAAACGTAGGCCACGCTTCGCATCCATATACTTAACGAGTACGGAGTAGCTACCCGTAGGAGTGCGTATCGGGTGTGCCGATAAGCCAGAGTGCCTCCCCAAGTTTATCGTCTCCACGTCTCGTTTGGCTTCGCAGTCTTCACGAGCCTTAGACAGGCCATTTAAATGATCCGTCTTATTGAAAGCTTCAGCTCAAATCCGTTCTGCAGCGGATAATACACTGTTGATGGCATACATCTCGCATCTTGAACTTTATCACAAAACCTGATGAAAGCGTTGCTTATGAACTGCGGACCGTATCGTGGATGATCAGTCTCGCGCACGCCGTGCGGTATGATGACATGCATGCCCTTGATGAAGTTGATGACGTTATTCGTCTTCACTTCCTTAACCCGGAATGCGCCTCAGCCCACTTTGAAAAGTAGTCAGTGATAGCGCAGATAAAACGAATCACCTTTGACTGAAGGGGGAAAATTTGGGACCGACAATGTCCATACCCCAAGTCTCGAATGGCCAGGATGTAGTTATGTGTGTAATCGTTCTGGGCGGGTTTAGCTGCCCATATAATTTGCATGCCACTTGACAGGGCGTGACATTCTCGTTGCATATTCGATTTGCGTCACGTAGCATTGTTGGCCAATATATCCATTCTTCTGATTCGATCATATAAGCCTTGCGACCAGGCTGATGCCCCGCCACGCCATTCTCCTTCGTGCGCTTCCTTAAGCACTTCTTTTGCTTCTTCGTTCGAAAGGCCATGCGGAGGAGCAAATCGCCTCATACCCCCGGCGGTATAACGTTACGCGCGTCCTCGATATTGTAAAGACCGTGCGCTTGCTCTTTCGGCGAATAGATCTTATTCTTTTTAACATCCTCCGGCAAGATCCATATTTGGACGCTAGGTCAATGATAGCGCCAAAACCGCCAATCTCGGGACTCAGACCCGTATTTGAGTTGACGTTCACCTCCTTGGTGTTTGGGCCCCTATCATCTTCTTCGTTCATCGTACCCAATATTGTATACGCGCGCGTACGAAGAGCTTGATGCGAATCTTACTGTGACTCAGCAACTCGGTATTCAGGCGGTCGATAGCGAGGACACTGCACTAGTGCGCCAGGTGCATCTGCATAAGCGTTCTGGCAGGCGAGCCGGATTATTCAATGAAAGAATTCCTCAAAGGATTCCGCCATTTTGAGGCCTCCTGGTGATACGTATCAGGTCTTTTGGTGCCTGACTCATACTCTCCACGGACTTGGTGACTGAATTAGCTGCGAATCTCCGAAAGCTTCAAGATATTCGACCCCCAGCTCTTGGCGAAACTGAGCCAATGAGAAGCGCATTGTACTCGGCCACATTGTTGGAACATCGGACCCGTAGGCGATAGGCCGAGGCTATTACATGCTTTCCCGGAGAAACTAGCGACGGCGACTCCAACTCCGGAGGAGACTGTAGAACATTCCCGGGGTTATTAACCCTATTAACCCGCCTTCTTGAAGCACCATCGAAATATTAGTCGCCATATTGTTGATGCGACAGATTGTAGTATTAACCTCGTGGGTTTCATCCGCAAGTCATCATATACTTCCGCGCGTATCTGTTCGCGTCGGCTTGCCGCCAAAAGATCACAAATTGCTTGTCCTACCGACTTCTGCTGTTTGTAAGCTGGCAACTCATACTGGGATAGGAGGAGCCGGCCTATTTTGCAAAAACGCCCCAGTTCATCGAACCCGGGGGTTGCTGTCATAAATTACTCGCACGGGTTATTAACGCCGGATTATTACGCTAAATCGTCTACTCCACTAAAGTAATGCCGCATCTTTGTGCACTGCGAATGACCAATGCCGAGACATTCTTTCTCGATACATCGGATATCGGGACTCAGCGCCCACCAAAGTCCGACTTAAATAATAAACTGCATGTTCGCTTGACCATTGTCATCATCTTGTGCCTAAACAAAGCACTTGATGAATGCCGTTCATCGCCTATGATGTAAAATCAAGAACGCTTACCTGATTTTTGGTGAACCGAGAACAGGAGGAGTTGCTTAGATGATGTTTTAATATCTTCAACGTGCTTTTGGACAGGGCGTCGCTCCCAGATGAATGACACCCCTTTCTTGTTTAGGCCTTAGAAAAAGCGGTTTGGCATTTCCCGGAAAGATTTGCAGTATGATGAACCTCCGGCATATAAGCTTAAAAACGCCCCTGCCAATCCTCTAAGCTCTCTCAGATTCCCTTGGAGGTTGCAGTTCGTGTATCGCCCCTTTACTTTATCGGGGTCGCATGTGCTCATACCTTTTAGTCGGTAACGTACGCAATCCAAGGAATTGTTTCCGCTGGACATTCCAAGGCAAGGATTTAGTAGGCCTGTTCATCTTACAACTGCTGGCGCTCCGCATGAGATCGCAACATCGTCTTCAGCGTCCTTGATGTGATACCCTTTTCTTGCGCGCTTTTACAACCAAGTCATCAACATAGCATTTCGACTGTTTTCGGAGGATGCTCTGGAAAATCTTAGCTCATCGCCCCGCTGGTAGCTGGCACCGCATTCTTCAGGCGAAAGGCATCACTGTAAGCCCAGAAACACCGCAGCAGGTGTTCTAAACGCCGTATGCTTCTCATCCCCGCGATGCCATCTTGATTTTGGGTTAATCCCGAAAAGCCTGTCCATGAAGCGAGATCCCCTCTCAATCCCGCATGTATTGTCGATTGATGACGTCCGTGATTGGGTAGAGGAAAATCATCTTTGGGCATGCTTTTCATTCAGATTCCTGAAGTCGATGCAAATCCTGATTTTGCCATTTATTCTTCATGACCGGGCGCAACGATGTTTGGCCTAAAACCACCGCTAGGGTGTTGTCCGCTCTGCATAAAATCCTGATCTCGATCAACTTCTTACCGTTCTGCCTCAATGGCTCCCATAATCTGCGGACGAAACCGTCTTCTGCTGTTGTTTGACAGGTTTGGCCACCGGCCTTGATGTCGCAGCGTTGTATTGCATTTGCCCACATTAGCGATCAAGCCCTGGATATCTTCGTAGTTCCAGTGCGAAGACCGCTCGATATTATTCCCTGATGAGGGCGATGTAGTTCCTCTTTCTCAATCATGGGGAAGGCTACGCTGAATCGAATATGCAGGTTTTGCGATTAGCCTCATCGCCCATATAATTTGACTACCTTCATCTTCGGTTGTGGTTCTCTCTGTTCGAACCTGTCACCGTACTGCATACTTACGATGATGTACCCACGGCGTCTTCCCACCGTTGACGTGGCATTTGATCATCATCCTCCGGTGATGGCATCTGCTGTTAAGTCATGTTTTGACATTAAGGTTTTGACATTTCTCCCAGACTTGTAATCAGCAAGCTCCACTCGAAACGCATCGGGAGAGTAATCCATTCTTAGGCTTGTATAGCAATTTTGATCATATGATCTGCCAACTAACATTTCCTCATTGGATGAAACATAGCCTAAGCCCTCGTCCAATATTTATAATAATCCTCAGGCTTATCCCTTTCCCGGTACATATAACTGCCTTTGGCTGGATTACGAGGACCTCGATCGAATATAAACCTTCTCCGATGCTGTGAAGTCGCTATATCCTTGCCTTTTCCATAAGCTTGCGTGCTTCCGAACTATACTTAGACAAATGCGCACCGCGGTTTGTCATCACTTCATCTTCACTTTAGGCAAATGATCCCGTACATGGCCAGAACTTTTTCCCTTTACCGTTAAATATTCCTTCGCGCCCTTTATTCTTGTATCGGGGATGATCATGGTTGGTTCCGAAAGAATGTTGGAGGAGCGTTCTTTCGTTACATAGATGATCGGAGCCTGGCATATGCAAAAACAGAATTATTATACAATTTCACGTCATCATATATATCAAAAGACAAGGAGTACTCTAAATTCGTCATTTATTTCATCCACGGGCCAAGTTGCCAGTTACAACTGCCATTCTGCGATTTGATCATCGTCTAGATTGATTACAAAGCCGCCCGTACAATGCTCATTTAAGCAACAAAAACCACCAGTTGTAATCGAATCCGGGCTTCGGACGCGAGTCAGGCTACTTCTCCGCTGCTCCGCGCCCTGGACGATGCGTCTCTGTATCGCGATTCGTTTACACATAAAGAGAGAATCAGTGAAATATTCTCAAACCCTTTAAATGGTTGCTTATCGCGACCACCGGTCCTAACTCTTCCATCAGTGTCGACATATTTCAGACACTGATGTAAGCGGTTAGAGCCGAACTTATAACATTACTATGGATCCAAGGCCGACCCAATATAAGTTATATGACGTCTCGAGCCATCAAATAACATAGCAACGCTGACCCTGCTCTTCAGATCGCCCATCTTGGCATTTTACCCGAATTTTACCTAAAGGCCTTTGACCCGCCCTGCGTGTTGAATCCGTATATTAACCGTCGCCTGTAAGACTGCTAATTTTGCTGACCGGATGCCAACGGTGTGTACATCAGACGAAGTGGCATAATGCTCACAGCGGAACCCGGATCGACTTGATCCGCGTGACCGCTCTGCGAACCAATGTATCCGCACCGAAGTATAGGGGCGCTCGTGATTCGAATTTTATCGACTTCTCGGCATATCCTCTTTGGTGAGGTGCATGCAGGACCGGTTTCTTCGTCAGCACCCTGATTGCACTCGTTGCCTCCCCAGCCGCGTCTGGCTGTTCATGCCCCGGCTTGACTTGCGCGTTCCGCCATCCCTCTGCATTGCCAAAGTTCTTGTAGCGGACCGGCCGCCACCCCCCACCCCCCCCCCCCCCCCCCGGCCCAACCCCCCCCCCCCATTATCAGCTACAAAATATCGAAATGCAGGCTCATTCGTTTTGCCTGTCAATCCGAACGATAAGGAAACTTGGGGCGACAGCGAGCATAGATTAGCTTACGTATCTGAAACAACGGTTATCTTCAAAGATATCGTTCAAGTTCGCGATGAGCAATGGTGGAGAGCGCTTTCATCAGGTTACGTCACTCAATGGGCCAAAATGTACCCTCAGAAGATTGACGCTCTCTTATATGCTCACACTCTCTCAGAAGTTCGAGCTCTCGCTCCCCTTCTTATGAAATTTCGCTCAATTGCTCATCGAAAGGCCTATATCGTTGTCTCTGGTGATAAATTTTGTGCCTGTGAAGATGCTGCAGTTGTTCTCAATTGGCCTAAATCGGTTTGTAAAGAGAGACTGTTCAAGATTTTCGATTTGGGGATTGGAGCGATATCTGGAGCGTCAAAGTCTGAGGTTTCGATACTACAAGCAGTGTATTCGAGCATGAAGGGCCTCGTCAGGATTTACAACCCGAGTCTAGTGATCACAGTCGCCGATATTGATCAAAATGTCAAGAGCGCGCTAACTATGGCTACTGAGAGCAGCATGAACAGCTCTGTGCTTGTTCCGTTGCCGAGAAATTCAATTGGCAAAGTTCTCTGGATGGCCGATCTCAGACCATCGGCGTTACCAAGTAAGTCGACATATATAAACTCTACTTATCAAATCCTAACATGTTGCCTAATTATGCCAACATATCAATTTCAAATACAGACTGGAACAAGATGAAGATATCTGTAAACATCATCACGCAGAATCGCGCAACATCGCTGCAGAGACTCCTGAAATCTCTGCAGAACGCGTACTATCTCGGCGACGAGGTCTCTTTGAGTTTCAACATGGACAGCGGAGTCGACGATGTGACACTGAAAACCATCGACTCGTTCAATTGGCCGCATGGCCCCACAACCGTCCGTCGACGGATAGTCCAGGGCGGCCTGATACGCGCGGTGAGCGAGAGCTGGTACCCGTCATCTGACGACGACTTCGGCCTCCTCCTTGAGGACGACATCGAAGTCTCCCCCTATTACTACCTCTGGATCAAATACGCCCTCCTCGCGTACCGCTACGACCCCCAAGTCTCCATCCCAGAGCTCTCCTCGATCTCTCTCTACACTCCTCGCCTCATCGAAGTCGCCAAAGAGCGACCTAAGTGGAACGCCACGCAGTTCTTCGAGGCGATCCACCCCAACACGCCATACCTCCACCAGCTGCCGTGCAGCTGGGGCGCCCTGTTCTTCCCCAAACACTGGCGCGAGTTCTACGCGTACATGAACGCGCGATACACTGAAGACCCGAAATCCAACCCTGTCCAGGTCCCGAGGTCCCGAACCAACGGCTGGCAAGCATCATGGAAGAAGTTCCTCATCGACATGATGTACCTCCGGGGGTACGTCAGCCTGTATCCCAACTTTCCGAACCAGACGAGTTTCTCGACGAACCATATGGAGCCAGGAGCGCATATATCCGCGAAAGAGAATGCGGTGAAGCATGATAAGAGGGACTACGAGGTTCCGTTGGTGGGCGAGGAGTTTACGGCGATGCTGCCGGCGGGGAGAATGCCTGCGGCGGGGAGGTTGCCGGTGTTGGATTTGTTTAGGACTGGATTGCCCAGGGGCTGTTCTAGATTTTGAGTTTTAGTGCTGATTTTGTTTGAAATTTTGGTGAACGAGGTGGTGTGATTTTGTTGTTATGGTTATTTTTGGAGGGAATGATGTTGGAATTGTATTTAAATTGAAGTGGATTTGGGGTGATTTAGCTGATATTAGTTGATTTTTGTCTGATGATTTTTTTTATTTAGTTTAACGAGAGAAGTTTCCCACTATCCTTCAATTTATGGGCATCAAATCTCCAGACCTGGGCACCCCAACGCACGACTTCGGGTATTTCGGAAAATTAATTTCATGTAAATGTTTTCAAGAGAGTCAAATCTGAGTTCTAATATAGCATTTATAGACAATTTATCAACTCAGCTAGACCCTCGTGGATTTGCCCGATAATTTATTAATTCACTAATATTTTTAGCTGATAAGTACTATATTTTTTTCATATAAAGATGAGCAATAGCCATCCTATTTCTTTTGCTAAAAAATAATAAAGGTCTCCTCTTACTTTCAAATTATCTCAATAATTTGATACAAACACACACACACATATCAATCTTTCTTGTTGATACTAGTTATCAAATAAGGGATTAATTGTGGATTTCTTAGTGTATTAGGGTCCCTTGATCTTCTTTGGACAGTCGATTCTTGAGGAGAGAATCCATTCCTGCACATAAATAGCACATGAGAGGACCAGAGTTGGGATCTCCAGTGATTCCTCCGACGATCAAGTCAGTAATGAACTCGAGTGGAGAAGTAGGGTTAAAGTGTGCTGAGTATCAAAAATTGCTTACCCTTGTGCAGTAGACAGTACATCTATTTATAGCAGGTCCGGAGGGGCGATTGTGTAACTTTGGCTTAGTCTAAGCATGCGGCGTAGTCAGCAGTTACTTCAAATGCGTTAGCTGCAGAGGGGATGAGTCACCTACGCGTTTAAGGTGATGGCGATGAGGAATGCATGGTGATGATGATGTCCGATGAGTCATAAAGGCATTCTGGCCTGAAGCAATGATGGTTCTGATTATGCATTAAATGTGATCGACTGTTGGCGAGGGATTCGAGGACAGAACGCCTTTCGACTCGGCTCTGTGAGAGGGTCAACACATGATGCCTTTTGTCTCGTTCTTGCGAGCAGGCCGATAAGTATCACCTTTTTATTTGGCCATCTTGGATTTGAAAGTTCTCAACCCAGCCTTGTAGGATGTAGAGGAGTAGGGTCAACTCAAGTAGTGACTTCGAGTGAGGACGCCTTTTGATGTGACCCTCCTTAGAAATGGTCAAGTCTCTATGTTGCTCAAGTCGTCCTGCCTAGGGTGAAGTCGGTCTGATATTTAGTTAATATGGACATGTGTCGGCTCCTCGGGGAGAGTTAACACTTAGCTATTTCTGTGTAGTAACATTGGCCCCTTTCACTTGGACTCGGGTGGCCGAGATGGAGTGAAATGAGCTGTTGACTACTTGGATTTTGAGACATATTTAAGATGGATCGCTGAGGGTTGGCTTCTGACACGACGTTCTAACATCATGGTAGATCATACATCGTCATCGCCTCGTTCTCTGAGCGGGGAATGCATGCCAATTAGAGGACATCGCTTTGGTTCCTGAGCGGTCCTTCGAATTATTAGATTGATCTCAACTGTCCGTCACTGATCGGGTTGAACGGCTATGATTCGCCACGTGCCTGCCCCCTCCATGCCTGCCCCTCTCTCTCTCTTTATATAATATACATATATTATATATAGATATATTAATAATATATTTTATAATTATAATATCTTTGAAGGGTAGCTTTAAAGATGTGTCAAAACCCGTGGTCCCGGGCCCAGGCCGGCCTCGCCAAACCCGGCAAGTCCGGGCTCCGGCCGGGCCCGGGCCGGCTCTTTGGTGTCCCGACCGGCCAGCCTAGCGAATAAGTGATTTTATTTTTTTTATTTTTTATATGTATTATAATATGTATATATAAATATATATATATATATTTTATATATGTTTATATATATGTCTATGTAATATATTTCTATATAGTATATAATTCATATGTGTGTATATACATATACTCTCTCTTAGTAATATAAGTATATCTACGTATACTCCTCTCTATATAAGTATATATAGTCATAAGTATATATAAGTAACTTTTCTCTATATAAGTATATATAAGAATACTCTCTCTTATGTTGCATATGTATGTATGTATGTATATATATTACTCGTCTCTCTCTCTTAGTATATACAGGGTTGGGGGCATGTACATATAAGTATAGACTCTCATCCTTATATATGTATACTCCTTATATAAAGATATATAGTATACCACTCTCTTATATATTAGTAATATAATAATATATTAGTATATATATATATTATATATATATATTAATATATATATATAATATATATATATATAATATATTTATATATATATATATATATATATAAGTATTATAAATCCTCATCATATATATATATACTCTCTCTCTTAGTATATATGTATATATAAGTATACTCTCTCTTATATATGTATAATATGTGTGTGTGTGTATACTCTCTCTCTTAGTATATAAGTATATATAAGTATAGTATATTACAACGACTACTTCTTCCCCATTGGCCCAACGGGCAACGGCTACTTATGCGATTCTTTCTCTCTCTCAAGTTATAACTTATAAATATATACAATATATTTACATATAATAAATGTATATATAATATATAGTTACATAATAATTTGTAAGTATATACTAATACATAATTATATAAAATATAATAATGTTAAAATATTTTTAGCACTTTTTTATCAAAAAAAAAAGAAATTAAAAAAAAACCTAGTTGGGATGTACTTATCTATTGTGATGCGATGAATTCCAAAATAAATTTATACTTGTAATTTGTAAATGATTTATTAATTATTAATAAAGAATTTATTTTTATAATTTTTTATTTGTAATTTATGTTATTTTAAGTGGTTAATAAAATTATTATTTTTATTAATTTTTTGTCTTTTTTATAATTTAAATTTTAAATAGAATTTAAAAAAAACCGGGCCGGCCCGGGGTACCCGGGTCCGGGCTCCGGTTTTGCCCGGCCCGGGCCCGAATTTTCGGGCCGGGCAGGGCCGGCCTGGCCTGGATGGACACATCTAGTTAGCTTTAACTTTCAGAACCCTAGAACTCTTGACACTTGAGTGATTTTCGATCATCTTCTCTGCATCTTTTGGTGATCTTCTTCACTCAAGATTCACAAATGGCTACATCTTCCGCCATCACTACCACCCATAATGAAGCTAGGATCAATCTACTGTAAAAAATTTACTCGAAGATGCACTCTATGGAGCTCGAGGGCTACGATGACTGCTTCAATATCCCCCGTGAGTTCACACTATCAGCGCCGGAGAAGAATAAGGTGGTGTATGACCACAACGACGTCATCACTCCAGTGTACATTAGGCATTTGGAGTATGGCCTCTGCTTCCCGCTCCATACGTTTCTTCACTGCACTTTCGAGGCTCTGGGGGTTGCTTTCTCAGATTAAGCTGAACTTCATTATCACGCTGGTGGGGTTCGTGGTTATCCACCACTGTGAGGAGTCGAACCGACTATCCGAATCCTTGGTCACCTCCTTAGCGTCAAGACTGGGAAGTACGAGAGCCACTATTACTTCCAGACTTTGGGCAGCTTCGAAGTTGTCTTGAACCCTCCTCAGTTGAACAAGGATTGGAAGGAGAAGTTTATCTGGATCTTCAGGACTGACTCGATTCTGTCTTGTTCGGCTTGGTCTAAGATTAAGAAGGATGTCCCGAAGTCGGGTTTTCTCACGGCCAAGGAAAAGCATGGGCTGGTGAGGATTAGCGCCTACTTTGGGTCATGTAGGATTGAGAACTTGTTTGATCCTTCATCCTTGCGAGTGGTTGGCATCTCTAGAATCCCACCTACCGAAGAAGACAAAGTTCGAGTAGTGGTCTTGGTGTTGCTGCTGGCGGGACAGATGCATCTTAGGCAAGAGCCCCAACCAGGCCCCAAAAATACTTGAGATTAGACTTGGCCCCATAAGAGGCCGAGGAGGTTGCAACAAAGGCTGCTGAGATTGCAGTCTGGTTGGTTGGGCCAAGTGCTTCTACTGTTAAGGCCGGGAGGTCTGAGAAAAAGAAGAGATGACTAAGGAAAGTGAGCGGCCAAGGTCCCTCTAGAGTGCTAAACCAGCATACAGTAGGGAGGTGGCCACAGTAGGGGACTCAAGATCAAGAAGCTGAGGAAGGCAAAAATTCCATCGCCCCTCTTTCTGATGCTGCTCAGGTCGAGTCGGCGGAGATCATCATGGTCGATGAGGAGTCCCCTATATAAGCTAAGGGGGCGAAATGGCGACAGCTGAGCTCTGTGTAGACGGTTAAAATATACTCTATTGGACCAATGCTGAGTCTGAGTTCAAGAAGTAAATACACATGGGCTAAACACTTCAGATGGGCCCAAGCATCTACATATGGTAGGCTACAATGAAGCTCACTTAGATCACATGCGAACATAATTTCATCCGAGCCAAAGAGGACCCGAGTCTGAGTCAATCCTCACGTCAGACTCTGTGCCGAGTTGAAAGGCGTCCTCAAGTCAGCCGAGTCAATAAACAAGTTCAAGTCAGATTCTGAGTCAAATCTGAACTTATTAGCAAAGCTGACTCAAGCCATAGTGAAGCCCGACCAAGGTATAATGAAGCTTGCTATCAAGACCAAGTCAAAGTGAAGCTTCTGGCAAGGCTCACCCAAAACGAACTTCGCCCAAATAGTCCACGTGGGACATATAGTGAAGTTCACCGAAACTGAAGCCGCAACGAAGCTCACTAAAGATGTAGCGAAGCTCAGCCAAGCAACAGTGAGCTTCACCTAGTAGCCCATGTGGGACATGTCATCCCTTGTGGCGAAGTTTGCTCGTGGCTATTATTGGCGAACTTCGCCTATAGCCATTATTGACGAACCACGCTCATGGTCGTTATTAGCGAACATCGCCAAACAACTCATATCGAATCAACTCGACCAAGTC